CTTTCAGTTCCAGCGATCATCACTGGTTCTGTTCAGTGATCGCTGAGAACATGTAATGTAAATCCATCAGCTACAACGATACTTCAAGAAGACAAAATTCACACCAAAGAACCTTCAGCGGAAGTCGAAGACTGAAGCTGAAGATTTGAGACTGGCGCGTTCATGATCTAAAGCGGTATTCAGTGATTACAACCGAGTCTATACATGTGTAAAGACTGCCAAGCCTCAGTGAATGTTGAAGAGACCTTCAGGTTATTCCAGCATTCAACGATCAAAAGAAGCTTGTTGAGCATGATTGTTTTTGTCTTGTCCTTCCACACACAAAGGACAAACCCATACCCTTTCTAAAGTGTAGTACGGCGTGGAGTCAATTAGTTGACTCTACTAGCCACCAACTTTATGAAAGGATGTCTGCTCATGAATAGGCTTTTGTACTATTCACTGTAGCAAAGAACAAGTCTTTCTCTAAAGGTTTGACGCGTGTTCAAACCCCTACTGCATTGCATTAAATGTGCATTTAATGCAATGGGTATAAATAGATGTGTTCTATATCCATGCAGAGACACTCTCTTACTCTTGAACCCTAACTTACGTTCATACGTAAAAGAACACACATCTAAAGAACACAAAACGCTTATCTTTAAAAGCAAGTTAGAATCCCTTTTAAGTGTTCTAAATAGTTCTTACCCAGAAACAACTTTCTTTCTTCTAAGTCTTAAACAACAAATCATTTCACTTTGCTAAGAACTTGTGTGTAACTTAGATTTTTTAGATATGTTATCTTTACCTTATCTTTCTACAAACAATCTTGTAAAATCTGTATTGATCTTTCTTTATCAATATACATGTTAAATTTAAAAAGTTTATTGTGTTTGTATTCATCCCCCCCCCCTTCTACAAACTGTTATACACATCTTGTAGACCCTAACGGGACCAACAAGTGGTATCAGAGCAGTGTATTTCTATTCTTGTTGTTTAGTTGTTTTCTGCATTATATTATTTCTTTCTTTAGATAATCTTACTATTGTGCTCATTAGTTGTGTTCCTCCTTCTACTTCAAATACTAATCAATCAGTGAATGAAATGCCGTCAGCATCTGAACCTATTTCAGTCGCTGAATCTGAGGCTTCTTTAGCAATTGTTCCAGTCGCTGAAGATATTGCAGCTAAAGCCTCATCCACTGTTCCTGAACTTCTCTACTCAGATGATAATCCTCTACTAGCTCAGCGATGGACTAAAGACCATCTAATTCATCAAATTCTTGGTGATCCAGGTGCAGGTATTCAGACTCGTCATGGTCTAGGTAATATCTTTCTCTTTGTCAACTTTCTCTCTTTAGTTGAACCCAAGAAGATCAATGAAGCTATCTCAGACCCTAGTTGGGTCATTGCCATGCAAGAGGAGCTCATTGAGTTTGATAGGAACAAAGTCTGGTACCTTATCCCACGTCCATCTAACAAGACAGTGATAGGCACCAAATGGGTCTATCGTACAAGTTAGATGAAGAAGGTGTGGTAACTCATAACAAGGTTCGTCTTGTTGCTCAGGGTTATAGACAATAAGAAGGGATTGAATATGACAAAACCTTCGCACTAGTGGCTAGACTCGAAGCAATTCGACTCTTTCTAGCTTTTGCTGCCCATAGAGACTTCAAAGTCTACCAAATGGATGTAAAGAGTGCTTTTCTTAATGGAAAACTTCAAAAGAAAGTTTATGTTGAACAACCTCCAGGGTTTCTTAACCCTGAGTATCTAAACTATGTCTGTCGTTTGGATAAAGCTATTTATGGGTTGAAACAGGCTCCCTGTGCCTGTTATGATACCCTCTCCTTATTTCTCATCTCTGAGAAATTTGTTCGTGGAAAGATTGACCAGACCTTATTTCTTAGAAAAGTTAAAGGTCATATCATTCTAATCCAAATATGTATCGATGATATTATTTTTGGCTCCACTAATCCCTCTTTGTGTTTTCGATTCGCTGATCGCATGAAAAAAAAAATACCAGATGAGTATGATGGGAGAAATAACCTTCTTTTTAGGTCTCCAGATCAAGCAATCAGATAAAGGTATCTTTATCTGTCAAAGTAATTATGTATGTGACATGCTGAAGAAGTTTGATCTATCTAATAGCTCATCTATGAAGAATCCAATGGCTCCTCCACTCTCTCTCAACAAGGATCCAAATGGAAATCCTGTAAATGTAACTCTTTATAGAGGAATGATCAGCTTCCTGCTATATCTCACAGCTAGTCGACCAGATATCATGTATTCAACTTGCTTATGTGCATGATATCAATCTGAACCTAAGGAATCCCATCTGATCGCTGTAAAACATATATTTAGATACCTGAAGGGAACTCCTAACTTAGGTCTCTGGTACCCTAAAGGTTCAGGTTTTGACCTAATAGGTTATTCGGATAGTGATTTTGTAGGTTGCAAGATCGATAGGAAAAGACCACTGGAGGCTGTCAGCTTCTAGGTGGAAAGTTGGTGAGCTGCACAAGTAAGAAGCAAAACTCAGTGTCAACATCAACCACTGAAGCTGAACATGTCACCGTTCGAAGTTGTTGTGCCCAAGTCCTTTGGATAAAAAACCAACTGAACGACTACGATCTTCAGTTCTCGAAGATTCCTATCTATTGTGATAGCACCAGTGCTATTGCAATTGCAAACAACCCTATACTTCACTCCAAGACCAAACATAAAGAGATCAAATATCATTTATCAGAGATCATGTTATGAATGGTCATATTGAACTTCACTTTGTTCCAACTGATTACCAGCTCGCTGATCTTTTCACCAAGCCTCATGATAAAACAAGATTTAACATTTTGATCAGCGAACTGGGGATGTTGAACGCTGAATGTGCTGAGTGATAAGGATCCTCATCGCCCAACACACCAAGTGATGAAGTGTTTTGGTGGCCAATGACCTTTACATTTACAGTTGTCTTGTTACTTATCTTTGAGCAATAATGTTTCCCGATAACCCTCTCATCTACCAAAGTTTCAAGCGATAAGGAGGGTTCTAATGATATCCGCCTAAGGCATGGGCGATAAGATGACACAATATATGTTCATCGCTCATCCAGATTACCTTGTTCAAAAACGACTCTTTGTGCTTATCTGTGTGCTTAATGGATTTCTTTGGCCTAATTCACCTTGTGATTAATGATTAAGGTGATACTTTGTCATTATTGCCTTTGAAGCATCAACAACAAATTTTGTCAACATTGATTTTTCAATTCAAAGTTTGACCTTTTGGTCAACCAAATTGAGGTTAAAGTAAAGCCACATTTGAAAGGATTTCAGAACTATTTGATTGGTTTATGTATTTGATTGGACTAGCTAGAGTTTGAGTATCTGCAATCATCACTCTGGAGTTTTGCTACAAGAGGCTAGACCGTTGAGTGCTTTCACTCATTTCTTTTGACCTAATCAATCAAAGGTCTTGAAGGTTTGCAATCAGTATTCTAGAGGTTCTAGAATATATCATATCTTTGAGTGTTCTCAGTCATTTTTCTAACATGATTAATTAGAGATTTGAAAGATTACAATCATTGTTCTGATGTTATGGTTGTGATCTAGAACTTTGAGTGCCTTTAATCACTTTTCTGGCTGGGAATTTTGAATTTGATTCTGGTTATTCAGTCTTCTGAAAGTTTGAAGAAAATTGGCTTATCGATATGGGTTGACTTGCTATTCTTGAGACTATATGCTTAATGTTGATTCTTATATCCGGTTCTTAATGTCAATGGTGTTTGCTTTGGTGCTTCAAGCTTGTGTTGTTACCCCATTATGTAAGCTTACGAAGACCAAGTTCTTAAGTTGAATGCCTATTCAACTCGTGGTTCACTGAAATATTCTTTGTCATAACACTATTTGCACTAGAATGTCATGAAGCTCGCACATTTATCTATTACATAGTTGGATGAATCTATTGGTTCCAGATTGGCAGTGATTTTGCGGTTCAAGGTTGTGTTAAGTTGTCTATAGTTTTATCTGTACTTTGTGCAATTAGTGGTGCTGAACTCACATTGAATCTTATCTTAAAGTTGAAATCGAAGAATAAGAGTTTTGTTCGGGGGGGGGGGGAGCTTGAAGATTTCATCAATGCTGGGGATACCAAAGTTTTCTTAAAGAAAGCAGGGGGGAGCTTGAAGATTTCATCAATGCCGGGGATACCAAAGTTTTCTTAAAGAAAGCAAGGGGGAGCTTGAAGATTTCATCAATGCCGGACATACCAAAGTTTTCTTAAAGAAAGCAGGAGAGAGAAGACCTGAAGACTTCAAGAGATGCTTACTTTATAATACTTTGGGAGGGAGATTGGTAGGACTAAAATAGGTCTAAATTTATGAAAGTTTTATAAACACAATTACTTTATATTGTATTCTAATATTCATGTAATTGGGCTTAAGGGAATTGAGCTTTACATGTAAATGTCACCTATAAATAGGTGACATGGATTTAGAATTACAGTTGATAATTCTGTTTGTTCATTCTCTTCCATTTTTACATTAGAGTCGTCTGAGATTTGAGAGAGTTTGTACTTTATTGCTTTCATTGAATAAGAGTAATCAATCGGTTCTTCAAAGTTCATGATCTTCATCTCAAACTCTCAATTACTGTTTTATTCTTGAATTGTTGTTAGATCTGGGATCTACAACATATAAAATAAAAATTATAAAATTCATAAGTTTTCTTATTTTGGTGTCATTTTAATCATCCTGATGAAACCTTTTTAATGATATATTTTTTTTATAAAAAATATATTTTATTATAAATTAATAAATTACATATTAATCAAAATATATAATAAACATATTAGATGTAAATTGGTCATTTTATTTGTTCTATCATATCCAACTCTATCTTACCAAATGATAAACAATATTCTGTTTTGTCCTATCATATTATGTTATATCTTGTTTGGACACGAAAACCAAAATAGTAACAAATTTCAAACTACATATATTAAAATTTTCAACAAAGAAAATAGTAGTTTAGAATAAACTTGCATTTCAATATAAGGTACATCAAACTATATAATACAAAATTATGTTGCTATAATTTCTTTACTTTATTCGATAAAAGTTGAACAATCGTTTAAATTTGAATTAAACTATAAGAAAAAAAGAGCCTTTGTAAACAATAAACAAACAAATGAGCCTTGACCAATTTACTGAGATCTCCAAAGCTTGGCCCTTTCGAACCCATTTTTGCAGTAATGATAGTCTTGTAAAGTCATATCAATCTCAGCTTGGGTGTTCATCACAAAAGGCCCATACTGAACCACTGGCTCGTTTATCGGCTGCCCTCCGATCAGCACGAATCTCAACGGTTTCGACCCATGGTTCCATATGCTTAGACCATCTCCTGGGCTCAACACGACAGCATGATGAGCCGATATCGGTGACGAATCCATGGACCCAAACACCCCTACTCCGTGAAGAACATACACAAATGAATTCCAAGATTCTGGGATGGGTTGGTGCATTTGGGCACCTGGGGCTATAGTGAAATCGAGGAACATTGTTGGAGTTCGAGTGTAAACCGGAGATTTGACGCCCATTGACTCTCCTGCAACGATCGTAACCTTCACTCCATCCCTTTCGGCTCTTTGAATGTCCTCATTTAACAATTCTTGATAATTTGGTTCGACCCTGCATTTCGAAGGTCACTATAGCATAAATACACAAAATATAAACATCGTTTTGTATATCTTACTGTTGTTGTATGTTGGAGTCTCATAACAGTTAGACTTGAACAATTTATCCTCGATATATGTCAAAACCTCCCTTCTCATGTTATTAGAGTCAAGTTATTCTACTCTAGGGACTCTTGACACTAATGGAACAATTTGTGCAAACCTAGCCTCTCCCGAAACAACTAGACTTGAACAATTTTCCCCACACACACACATATATATATATATATTTGAACCTCCCTTCTCTCGGTAAAAAAAACTCTTCTAAAAAGTAATCTAATAAAATTCTAATATTGTTTTCACACTACAATTAAATAAGAAGGAATTAGAGGTTTGTTACATTTTATCTTTGGAGGAAAGATTGATCCACAGTTGCAAGCCCTTTTGGGCACCTGTGCCTACAGGCATCTCTGAGTGAATGATTCCTCTTCCTGCTGTCATCCACTGTACCCAAAATACACACATTTCAGCACCCTTATAACAATCGCTACAGCTTTTTGTAATACAATAGAATTTAAGTTTATAGTACTAACTAATTTTACTTCCTATACTATTAACTATATTAAGTAACAATAAATCTCTCAAACATTCCGTCAAACCAAACGGGTCCATTTGCTTTGCGGAATTTGTTGGAATTGGAAGGATTCCTTCACATCCATTATGTGAACCAAACATGGTATTTGGAATTTGGCCAAAGATTTGAACATTCCACTTCCTTCCAATTTCACCAAATTCCATGAACCAAAACACCCCCTAAGTTGTTTGGAAGAATCTAAGGGACCTAACAAGTTCTACAACAAATTTGAGAAATCTAAAAACATATAGGTAAGTACAAATATATTGTTTTATTAGCCTTTAAAGAAAAAGCTATATGACAATTTATTTCTTTGTGTCCTATTAGATTGTCTAACTTCGTTGGCAAAACCTGTAACATTGACATTGCTTAAATTCGTCCTAACAACTTATTGCAACACCGTTGTATAGGACACAAAGTCGTTGGTTCTATAAACTTATGTCCTATTAAGTACTCTACCAAATAACCAATGACGGTTAGGGGGCTGTTTAGTTGGTTTTTTATCAAGTCATGTATAAATAAAGTTGTCTATGTGAATGAATTTGTCGATATATATTGGGAATTTTTTTGTTTGTGATGGTTTTTTATAAATGGAAGGAGTATGACTTTTAATTGGGAAGACATGCTTGAAAAAACTTGGCTTTTTGTAAAGCTTCTGCTAGAAGCTTACCGAATAAACAACTTTTTATATCATTAATCTATTACCAAACAGTCATGTATAATTGACCAAATAAGTTGTGAAACTTGTTAAGCTCGTTATGCTATTAACGAACAAGCCCTAAGTGTCCTAAAAGACTCGGTGACTTTTGGATATGATATTTTGAGGTAAAAATAAAATGGATAAAAATTTACCTGAACGTCACCAGCTCTGATAGTACCCTTATGGCCAGCAAAGTCTTGATGGGTAAAAGCTCCCTAAAACAATTCAAGTACTGCATGTTAATATATACCTTTAAATCAAAAGATGAATGAAGAAAAGGTATTGCAAATGGGTACGTACCTCTAGCATGTAAGTAACAGTCTCAAATCCTGTATAAAATATAGGAATCATTTAATTATATAGGTTATTAAAAAATTATATAATATTTGATTTGATACGATATGTAAATGAAGAAAGAAATTAAGAAGACTTGTGAACCAAATTGAAACTTATTAGTTTAAAAGAAAGTAAACTATAAGGGTGATGTTTGATTGGTTTGAACTTCGTCTCCAAAGTTTAAAAGTGTCTGGAGGTCTAAGGAGTAATAAAAATCCCCTTGTAGCCACGAAGATTCAAATGTGGTAACTCTGGCTACCTAGCAGGTGGTCGTCCAGGATTAGTCGGGTTCACATATCCAGGTTAATAAAAAAAATGAATGAAAGTAATTTTTAATACGAATTAATAATTATTGTAATATGCAAATTAACATTCACTTTGTTTTTAATTCAAAACAAACAATATAAGGCAAATCAAGTCTTTTGAACCAACAGTACTGTATTATTTATAGCATCAATATTTTCTATTTATTATTTTTTAAAGGTATGTTAGGTTATATCAAAATTAATCCCAATCAATTGTGACTATAAGATATTTACTCTTGCCAACACATCATTTAAATTTTAAAAAGACCAAGGGGTGTTTGGGATTACTTATTTGAAACAATTTTTTTTTTATAAAAGTGTTTATCAACTTATTATAAGTTAGTAAGATTTAACTTCTTTAAAAACTTCTTATTATCGGTTTGACATCAATATAAATTGTTTATCCAAACACTCAAAAAGACTTATTACCAGTGTCACACCAAAATAAATCAATAACTTGTTTTTCTAAGCAATCCTAAACACCACCTAAGATGAAAAATATAAAATCAAAAGCTTAATTTGTGTTTAAAAATTTAACCTCTTTATAATAAAATAGGCCACGTGTGTCTATTTAGTAAACCAATTTCATAAATTAATGAAAAATATGAATGTGTAATAAATTTGTTAGATAATAACTATATGCTTGTTTGGTAAACACTCATGGTTCGCATTTTCGGAAATCCATTACGGACCAAACAACCTAACGAATCTTTTAGGTGGAATAAGGTCTAAAAAATATGAGAAAATAATTTTTTTTTTAATTTAAATAGTTGTTTAAAGTTAAATGTTGAATAAAAAACTATCATTATTTTACATAAAATTTATTTAAAAGTTAAATTGGATAATAAGTTATTAAATATTTTAGTAATACATATATTTAAATCGTTCTTAAAAATGTATAGCTTAGTTGGTAAAAAATCAGAGCTACTTTGCTTAAATATACGATACGCACAAGTTCGAATCTTGTAGCAAACAACACCTTCTTCTAGCATTCGCCGCTCAAAATATACAACACTCTTTAATCAACTGAAGGACCATTTTACTAATAATGGTAGATAGAGAAATCCATCTCATAATTAAGACTTAAGAGTGTAAACTGAGAAAATTACACTTAATTTTGAAAATGAAAATGGACATTCATTTTTGAACAAACTAAATTATAAATTTAGGGGTCGTTCACTAAACACTTATCCGGTAATTACTTACTGGATAATTTTCCTAACCGGATAAACATGTCAAATGTCAAAAATCTTACCCGGCAAGAGCAATGATAAAGATGGAGAGTCTTACCCGGTAAGTGAACGTGATGACTCTTACTTGAATAAGTGCTTACCGGGTAAATTGTTGTATACGTTACCACTTTGATGTACAAAAATTTTACCCCGTAAAATAAATTATAGTATTAACTCATAACGTTAAACACTTACCGAGTAAACATTTAAATAAACGGAATTCGACATACTTATTTTAAGACAAAAGGGTACTAACTCGTGATAGAGTTGATCTCAGAGATAAAAATAATAATAAACCGTAATCCGCAGGAAAGAAAACATAAAAAATGGAAGTGAATATTTAAAAGGTTTACTTTTAAAACAGAACTCAAATTTGATCGATGATCACCTAAAAGAAATAGTTTAAAATTGCCAAGAGTCAAAGAAGAAAAGTCATACCTCTATGGGGATGATCAGGGAATCCAGCTGGGGGTGAAACTGCACAACCAAATGTAAAGCTGCTAATCAAATGTCTGAAACTTATTCCACAATCAAAAGAACAAAATATTTTTGAAATCCGATCCAAAATTTTGATTTTCATGTAATCGATTGCCGATGAAAAATAGGAAAAAGAAGTAAATTCAGATCGAACACAAATAAGTACCAGAAAATTCATCTAACAGAAGAAAAGGATCCAGAGACTTCAATTCCGGCCTGCAAAATTAACAAACTACAAATCGGAATATGGAATAATGCAAAAGTTGGAAACCGATTGATTATAAGAAGTACCAGGATTACCTTCCGATGCTTCTCCGAACAACTGCGCCGTCGCCTTCGCTCTGGCTCTTGGCCAATAACTTCTTGGCGACCAATCTCGGTGCACTAAAGCTGCCGCCGATCTCCGACGATGTGGTCATGGCGAATTTGCTGGTATGTTTGCTGGAAAACACCGCCAATGGTGTTGTAAGATGAGTTATAATGGTTGATCTCCACAATCTCATGTATTTCTTGGGGCCTAACTTTGGGGGTTGTTTCTGTCTGTATATATAGTGTGTGGGGGTGGGCGTGGGGGTGGGCGTGGGGGTGTTTGACTTTTAGAAATATTGGAAGACGGGTGGAGGGTAGTCGTGGGAAATTAGGTGTCCACTAATTGTGACCACCATTTTGTTCCTTTCCCAATATGATTACATCAGCATGACGCACATCCACCATCAGCAATCTATAATCTTCGATGGCTATGGTTTAAATTTTTTTATAACTATGTTTGAGATTGTTTATAAAAATAGTTTACTGATTTATTTTGGTGTAATATCGATAATAAGTATTTTTAAGTATTTAGATAAATAATTTATATCGATGTCAAATCGGTAATAAATTTTTTTTTAAAGTTAAACTCTTCCGACTTATAATAAGTTGATAAGCGTTTCTATAGAAAAACATAAATTATTTTAAATAAGCAATCATAAACACCCCCTATAAAAAGCAAGAATCTATTTAAACCATTTCTAACATTAGTTATAAAAATAAAATATTCAATAAATTTAATAAAATATTTTTTTTTCTACATATTTATTTTAGTAACTTTAATTAATTAGATATATTTAAAATATTAGTTTCTCTCTCTTCTATAATGTTTTATAGATTTCTTCAAATTTTGAGAGCATCACAATTAGGGGTGAGCATAGGCGGATACCAGTCCTTTTTGACAGGAACCGGAACCGGAACCGACGGTTCTTGAGATATTGGAACCGGAACCGGAACCAGTTAGAGCGGTTCTTAAATTTTTGGAACCGGAACCGGAACCGCCAGGAACCGGTTCCGGGTACCTGCTTCCTAAAATATTAAAAATTTGTTATTTAGAAATAAAAAATAAAACATTGCCAAAACACTAAATAAATAAGCAAGAATACAAATTATACAAAATAATGGTTACAAATATTGATTAATGATTACAAACCATAATAGACTAAAAGAAAATGTTCAAAGTTTAACGATTACATACTATAATGGTAATTGTTCAAAGTTTAACGATTACATACTATAATGGTAATTGTTCAAAGTTTAACGATTACATACTATGAATCCAAGTGAACACACAATTTGAAAAAATACGAATCATTTTATATGAAGAATTTAGATGAAGATTGAAGATGACGACGTGCTTTTAAGATGTAAACCTAATATAAATTTGGTATTAAAAAATAATAATAATTTTTTTATTGAAAAATACCGGATACCCGGCAGGTAACGGTTCCGAAAAATTGAGAACCGGAACCGGAACCATTCTCAATCGGTTCTGTAACCATTCTCAATCGGTTCCGTATTTTAGGAATCGGAACCACTCATATCGGTTCCGGTTCTGGAACCGACGGTTTCAAGGCGGTTCCGGTTCTATAGCCGGGTACCCGGTTCCGCTGCTTACCCCTAATCACAATCTCTCTCATTTTTTTCTCTATTTGAATTTTGAGAATAGAGGATGGCAAAGTTGTTGAAACAACAAAAATAGTAAAATACATTTTTTTTCTCTATTTTAACATAATTGTTGGAGATGTTCTTATGAGATATCTTAGGGAGAGATTCTTTATAGAGAAAGTAGTTCAAATACTCATTTCTCTCCTTTTAAATTGGTTTTCTAACCATCTCTCTCCCGATTTGATCCAAATATCACTATCTTCGCAGTATTCAGGTCCATAATATTGCTTACCATGCTAAAAGACAAAAAAATGTCAAAATTTACCCAGTTTACCATCAGGTCCGCAATTACGACCTAGCCGTCGTAATTGCATATGTATCCGTTGCAATTGAATTTGATTTTTTTGGCCTTAAGATATTGCAATCGTGGATATTGTAGAAATAATGACATTTGAGTCGACTCAGGAGAAAAATGGTTAGAAAACCAATTTGAATGAAGGAAATGATCATTTAACTCAAGTACTCTTCTTGATATCATTCTTTAGAATAGAGAAAATAAAATAAAAAACTTAGAGAAAAATGGATTTTGTCACCAAACTTCCAAGGACGGTAAAGAGACACGATGCCATATGGGTAATTATGGACCGACTAACAAAGTCTGCTCACTTCTTATCGATCAACGACAAATATACATTAGAAAGATTGGCTCAAATTTACGTCAATGAAATTGTGTCGAGACATAGTGTGCCAATATCCATTGTCTTAGATAGACATGTTAAGTTTACTTCGAGATTTTGGTCAAGTTTTCAATAAGAAATGGGGACACCGTTGAACATGAGTACTGCATATCATCCTCAAACTGATGGCCAGAGTGAGAGAATGATACAAACGCTAGAGGATATGCTGAGAGTATGTGTGATTGACTTTGAAGGTAGTTGGGACAACCACCTCCCGTTGATAGAGTTTGCTTATAACAATAGTTACCACTCGAGCATCAAGGCGGCACCATTCGAAGCATCGTATGGCCGCAAGTGTAGAACCCATATTTGTTGGGAAGACATTGGAGAAAGACAACTAGCTGGACCCGAGTTATTCTAACAGGCGTCTGATAAAATAGTACAGATCAGGGAGAGGTTAAAGGTTGTGCAAGGTAGACAAAAGAGTTATGCGGAGAGAAGACGTCGACCTTTGGAATTTTAGGTGGGTGATATAGCCTTATTGAAATATCACCATGAAAAGGGGTTGTAAGATTTGGGAAGAAAGGTAACCTAAGTCCAAGGTATATTGGACCATTTGAGATAACTGCAAGAGTAGGAGCAATTGCTTATCGGTTGAAACTACCAAAGGAGTTAGGTAGTATTCATAACACCTTTCATGTGTCGAACTTGAGAAAGTGCTTAGTTGACGAGTCAACCGTTGTGGATATGGAAGACATCAATGTTAACAACAAACTCACTTACGTAGAGGATCCAGTCGAGATATTGGATAAAAAGACGAAAAGACTAACAAACAAAAGTACACCATTGGTATTAGTTAAGTGAAAATTCCATAAAGACACAGAAATGACATGGGAACCAGAAGAAGAGATGAAAGTTAAATATCCTCAAATGTTTAGCGGGTATTAGTTCCGAGGACAATTTCTTAAAGGAGGAAAAAAATTGTAAAACCCAAACAAAAATCGAGAAATAAATATTTTTTTATTTGTATTATTATTCTTTTCATTTTTGGATTATAATATATATATATATATATATATATATATATATATATTATATAAATAAATAAATTAAAAGAATTTTGAAAATTGGACTAATAATGAAGAAAAAACTCAAAATGTGGATGAAAAATGTAAATTTGGCAAGAACATTGAAGGTAGGGAGCCGAATGTAAATTCTTGATAGTTAAAGGGGTGTGTCAAATGGTAACAGGTTGAAACCAGAAGGACATGTTCTGTAAATATATCAAATTCTGATTTTTGAAAATGATGGAACGATGTCTAGTATTGAGGCCTCTTATTGGCTCGTTCAGTCAACCAATAAGCCAAAAAAATTACAGTAATAAATAGGCAATGTCCCCCTCTACATTTTTCGTTCAAGAATTTTGAATTTTCGCTGAAAATCGGGAGAGAAATCGAAGCTCGAAATTCCCCATTCGAAATCTTCGTTTATCGACGATTAGAGGTAAAATACTCAACTAAAATTCATGTTCTTTATATGTTTAACTTCATTTTTTAGTTCTCTATGGAAACCTAGTAGCCTTATGTTTTATGGTTTGATTTTGAAGTTTAAAGTTTCATTCGGTTTAGTTTAAAACTAAAACTTTAAGTAAGAAAATCGAACTCATTTCTTGACGAAAAATTGTGTTCTTTATGTCAAAATGTTGGTAAAATTTTTAACAAGGTTTTGGTATAAAAAGAATGAAGAAAAAAGATTAAAAAAAAACAGGTCAAAAATGAGCTCAAACCAGTAAGAAACACACAACCATGGGGTTGTTGTTTCTGGGTTGCGACTGGGTCGGGTCGGGCCCAGATCAGACCCATAAATCTGTGGAACCAACCCATCAAAAATTTATATAGGTATATGTTTGGAAAGAGAGTCAAACCCACGACCTCTCATCTCTACCAAGTAATTATTTATATATAGTAATTAACTGATTTTCTTTAATAAATTTATATTATAACCCCAAGAATTTAAGAAACTAGATTTAACCTCTAAAATAATCTTAAATCCAGAAAGTTTTTCTTGAAAATTTTAGATGTGTAAATTTCAACTTTATTTTATTATTTGATTTTATAAATTACCAAAATGCCCCTTAAATTAAAGAGTGTGTATCTTGAGCAATACGTGATCATTTTGCATTATAAAAATACCGTCAAAGTTGAAATTTACTACTTTAACTATGTAATTATTTGGGGATAATTAGAATGAATTATTTGAATAATTAGATATTTTTTTTGTCAATGAGATTAAAGCGTAGCTCTTGAGTTATATATATATATATATATATATATATAGAGAGAGAGAGAGAGAGAGAGAGGAGAGAGATCAAGTACAAACCACCCTCATTTGTGAAAACCTTATAAACCAATCTCAACGATCCATCCATTTTCTAGATCAATGGTCAAGATTAAACGAGTTTATATTAGGAAATAAAAAAAAAGTTTAATTTTTTTTTGATCCCAGATCTCTCAATAATACTAATAATTAAGTTAAGAATAACCAAATTATAGTGTTTGAATGTATAAAATGATGAACACTCAAGAACAATGTATGAACATTCAAAGTATAAACTTAAGTGTCAAAGATTTCACTTTATTCTAATAATTATGAAATCAAAACGTAAAGTGTGTTAGATTACAATAGGCCTAACCACCTATTTATACTAGTAATTTAATAAGAAGATAACTATCTAGTGAGACTATTTAGCTAATCTTCTACTAACAGGTAAAGCTTATCTAAAACAATGATAAACATTAAAGTAAGATAAACTTTGTAGACTCCAGCTGTTGATTAGTCATCTACAACTGTCTTTCATGGAATATGAGTTCAACCTTATCTTCATATCTTCATTGCTTGCTTCTGGTTGAACTGGTGAA